CAGCCAGAGGTGGTATTTGCCAGTTCTCCGAACTACTCAAAATTTCCGCTACCGGTTCTCCAGAACCTGTCAGAACCTGCTGAATAGCACCCCTGGTAGATGGTCTATCCATAAGCAACAAGAATTAGTGCAATGCCAAAGCATACACATATGCCCACTCACCATGTAGGCTCTGCCATTTTGCACTTGTGTCCTGATTCATGACACCATGATGCATTTCATTGCCAGACACCCACTCTGAACCTTCTGAACTTTCATTTGCTCGATCTGCTTCCATTCACGATACTGTGAGCTCAGCAACAAGATTGCTGTGGAGGAAATTCTCAGAGAATACCCAATCAGCCGGTTATATTCGAACTACTGCATAATATATACTTTTGTTGTTGTTTCTGAAAGCCCATCAAAATTATAGCCTTATTCCATCTAAATTCAGAAAGAGAGTCTTATTTTCCATTAATAGGGATACTTGGAGTTTTTCCCAACCCCTCTTCCCTATCATTTCCCCTCCCCAATTGGTCTTTCTGTTCAGATAAGTGCAGATTTGCTTTATGTGATATGTTCAAGATTGATAGTGCTTCTTGTTTCTTTTAATCTATCATCTACCTTCCTTAGCGGCTTTTAAGATTTAGCTAGAAGACGTTCTCCTCAGGTCCTTGACCAGTGGCTGGACACCAAACTGATGTTAAGATACACTATGCCTTTCCACACTACTTTCCCACTTTCTATGTATTGTGTATTCAGTACTACGTATTACGTACTGTATAAATTCTTCAACCCAAATGCTGTAATATAAGAGTTGTTCAAATGTTTTAAAAAAAAAAGCAATTGGAAAACAAATAAATATTCCCTAAAGGGGAATTTGAGTGCTGGGTTTAACATTTTGCCTAAATGCTTAATCATGATCAATTTTAATATACATGTCAGTGGAACTGAAATTTCTACTAGTGCGGGGTGTGTGTGTATATATAGTATATGTATGTATATATTTATGTATCTATGTACAGTATGTATCTATGTATGTAGCAATAGCAATATCACTTAGACTTATATACAGCCCTCTCTAAGTCGTTTACAGAATCAGCATATTGCCCCCAACAATCTGGGTCCTCATTTTACCCACCTCAAAAGGATGGAAGGCTGAGTCATATGTTTGTATGTGTGTGTGTTTATACACACACACACACACACACACACACACACACACACACACACACACAGAGCTAGTGGTTAAGGCACCAGGCTAAAAACCAGGAAATAGTGAGTTCTAATAATACCTTAGGCATGAAAGTCAGCTGCATGACTCTGAGCTAGTCACTCTCTTTCTCTCAGCCATCAATGTCAGGCTTGAGCATCAAGCCAAATCAGTCGATTTCTGTCACAACCAATGGATCAACATTCAGCTGTTCTGAGAAAAGCAAAACCTGCATTTGCAGGAAAATGCTAGAAAGAAAGAAATAGGATGATGATGATGATGTTAAGGAAGAGGACAACAACAGACGGACAGACAGACAGACAGAAAGACAGACAGAAAGACGGATAGATAGAGCAAAATAGATAGATAGATGATAGATAGATAGATGATAGATAGATAGATAGATAGATAGATAGATAGATAGATAGATAGATAGATTGTAGATGTAGATGTAGATGTAGATGTAGATGTAGATGTAGATATAGATAGATTACTTATCCTGCTATTCTTTTCTAGGACTTTCTCAGCAGCCTCCCATTGAAATGCTGAAGAGATTCACAGCTGTGTAGTTGCTCAAAATCCCAACAGATGGACAATCCTAAACTATTATCTGAACTGCTGAACTGGCTGAAATTAAATTCTTAAATCTCCTGAATGTCAGGGAAAAATAGGTACCAGCTTACAAAAGCTTTTCTCCAGATAAAATTAGCTGCTATGTTTGCTCAACATGGTAAACTATATTTAATTATATTTTACTGTGAAGCTTAAATTAACCTTCCAGATTAGACAAAAAAATGTGGTTAGTTAGTTTGTGGCTCAATGCCACAATGCCTAGGCCAACTCTACTTGTTGGTAGGAATCTGGACCACCATTAGATGGTAGCAAAGAAAACAGAAATCTCTAAATTTTTGCTGTCATTTAGTGATTGTCACAAGTTTTAACCGTAATGATATATTTAGCATTTAGGCATATATACTGCCCCATAGCACTTTACAGCACTCTCTGGGCAGTTTATAATGTAAGCATTATTTGCATATTGTCCCCAACAATCTGGGTCCTCATTTTACTGACCTCAAAAGGATGGAAGGCTGAGTCAACTATAAGCCCCATCAGAATCGAACTCCAGGCACTGGGCAGAGTTTGCCTGCAATACTGCATTCTAATCATTGCACTACCAGAGCTCATATTGTTCTGGCTATATCCCTAGGTCTCTTTACATAATTTCAGAAAAAGCAAACATTACCAAGTGATTCTTGCAATGGCAGGCCTTAAGCAAGCAAGGTCACAAAATATTTTGTTGTGTAGTATTTACTACACAAAAAGCTTTTTTAAAACTCACCATCTCAACTCTTTTTTTTCCTCCTATGTTATTCAATTTCATGCTGCCCTCTTCAGAGTCTCACCATGCCTTGTTTTATTTATTGCTTAATTATTATGAAATAGTAATAACAAAAATGACAAATGACAATATAGATTTTCACTTAAAGCGTACTAGTATTCCATTTTGTTAAAGTGCTGTAAAAGATCTATTCCTTTTCGCTATAAATATGCTGAATGAAATAACTGAAAAGAGCTGGACCCAGGCAATAAATTTAAAAAACAACAACAACACTACAGATACATCTTAAATTCTACTTAACCAATTCCTTTCTGCGCATAAATTATAAGGGGTTGATATCAAAGAATATGGTTCATTTTATATTTTGCACACACCACATGATATTATGAGCAAATTAAATTAAGAAGGCGGTTCTTTTGGGTCCCACCAGGTGTATCTCCCTCAATGATGATGAAATCATGGGCTGGGACTGCTTAGCTCCCACCGGAACGGTCTATGACAATTCACTGCAGCCAACTCACCATGGCCAACTCACTGCGGGACAACTCGCCACAGCCAATTCGCCACACTGTGGGACAAGAGTTACACTAATATCAAAGAAATGGTGGAATAGAATCATTTTTAAAAGGATGCAAAAGGAGGGACAGAATGAAATGTGCATGGCAAAAATTAAAACAATGTTTTATTTATTTAAAATAATTAAATAAAATTGTTAAATTGTCCCACAGCAAGTTGGCCATGGTGAGTAGGCCAGCAGCGAATTGGCCATGGTGAATTAGCTGTGGTGAGTTGGCCATGCAGAGTTGGCCGCAACAAGTTGGCCACGGCAAGTTGTTCCATTCAACACTGGAAAGTATGGACCAGCATGAGTATGACTCTTCCGCTCTTCTTCCTGCGCACTCCTTTCCAGGATTGGTTTTTTGGGGAGAGAGGAGTAGAAGAGTAAAATCGTAAGGATAAAAAGAGTGATGGGGCTCGTTTTCCCATGAACTGGCGATATGACAGAGAGGAAAGTAATCCAGGGGAATCCACTGGTTACTTTTCTTAACTGTGCTATATTAAATATGTGCAAGTCAGCAGCCTCCTTATTGAAGCAGATTAGGGCTCAGGCATCGGGGCGGTAATCTTTATGTCAACATCTATTTCTGCAGACTCAAAGAAAGATGAGCTGCACATTGATACAACTGTTACATGGCCTGCCAATTCGCTATCTGGTGAACGGGAAGCCTTCAGGAAGGAGGCTTTAAGCAGGTTAATTTTAATAAAATCAGATGGAGAAGTACAGCTGACAGAAAGTAGTTCGGATTTTGGTTGTTAACATTATTGTTGATCATCAGAGAATTTTGTTAAGACCAGACAAGTGTGAGGACATCTAGTCTTAATCAGATTATTTACCCTTCGGTGCAGTGGTGAGTTGCTCCCGGTTCGGTCCGGTTCTTGTGAACCGGTAGTAAAAGCGGCAGGAGGCTCCGCCCACCCGCCCAGACGTCCTCATGGACAATCTGCACATGTGCAGAAGCGCCCATGTATGAAGCAAGAGAGTGCCCATGCTCCCGTTGCGAACCAGTAGTAAAGGTAAGTAGAACCCACCCCTGCTTCAGTGACAATATAACCCAAGAAACTGGGAAGTATATGTTGTAACACACACACACACACACACACACACAAATTCAGACGTGCCCCATAGAAAGGGTGTATTTTCACATTGCATCTTTAATTGTAAGGGAAGATTAATTTTAAAGCAACTGTAACCCAAAATTATATTGAGTTAGCTGCTCTGTTTAATAATTAACATTTTAAACTATGGTTAGATTAAAATTGCTTTAATAAACTTTTGGTATAGGCAGTAATACTATACATTCCTAAGAAAAGTGGCTAATGTTAAAATCAAGTGGTTTATTTATTTAGCCTATGGCTGGTCACACACAATATTAAAACACTTCATTTTTACAGGTTAAAAACAATTAAAACAATAAAAAAGCAGTAAGAAAACCTAAAAGGAAAACAGAACATTTCAAAGTTTAATGTCAAGTTTGGAGATCCAATCAGTAGCTGCCGTTGTTATGCAAGGCAAAGTTACTCGCGTCCGTGGCAATCCTTAAGTCACACGTGCCTCCTGGGTGGTGCTAAATGAGTAAGAGACGGACTGGTAGCCAGACATCCGCGAGGATCTCCTGGCTTCACACACAACCCCATGGTCCTTTTAAGGTCCAATCAAGTGGTATAAAGCACTTTGAAGTCAGGGCCCATGGTGCTTCAGACTGTGTAAGTGTGTATGTAGGTGTATGTGTGGTGTGTTTTCTCTTTGTTTTCTGTAATTAGACTTACAATACTGGGCTGTGGAAATCTGGATAACCACGAGATGGCAGCACAGAAAACCTTACCTCTTTACCACCATTTTATATGCCTCAATAGCACTAGCCCTCTTAATAGTATCTGCTATTTAATGGGAAATTAACTGGAAAACTTTTGGTTCATGGTGTTCTTCTAGGCATCCACTACTATTTCAAGGAAAAAAAAGAAAAGAGGACATTGCAAATTACACAGGCTGGTTTAAGTTCAGAGTCAGAAAAGTGGAGGTAAATGCCAGGATAGCAAAAGTGATGCAGATGAAAGGAGGCATGGAATGAACAAGGGTTAGTGTAAGAGATTAAAGTGATAGTAGAAGATTAAAGGCTTGGGGGCACTTAGTAAATATCAGAGCAGCATCAGTGGATCGATCAAATTATTGTGAGGTATCTTTTGACAAGAGAGAAATAGAAATCGCAGAGTAGCTAGGTATCAGAGGCACATCAAAGTCAAATCATACCAATTCAGGAAGCCAGACGGCCACTGAGCTTGTAGTCTTTCAACAGATGCTGTCTTTATAGATGAATGGGGAAAAAAACAGCACGTGGCTTGGGAAAGGTCCCATAAGATCAAGGAAGCGAGTTGAAAAAGATTTTGGATATCACGGTGACTGAAGGCTAGACAAGTGAGATCAGAGTTTCAGAAATGGGGAATCCAAAGGCCAAAATATCTCTTTCTTACTAAAGCAACCCAGGCAGATATCGCTACAGAAGTCTTATTTACAGCTATGCTCAGCATGACCACACAGTGATATTTCACCTACTTAACAATGAAGTCATCCTTAGCACACCCCAAGAGATGGCTTGGTACTTATTCAATCAATAAGATTTGAAAATGAAGTCAAATGTCTTGTAACATTGCCGTAATTGGCAAATGTCATGAAAAACTTTGAGCAGAAACATACTAATGTTTCTTGCGGCCAAATCATGAAAGGAAAACTACTGATGCATGATAACTTTTATATTGTTGCAGGAGTTGGTTTTAGCTTCATTTTTATTTGCTTCATGTTTATCTTGGCCACTTGTATATATGTTTGCTTGGGATAACTGAGTATTTAAAAATATGGAATTGGATCAGCAATTTTTTCAGATTTTCCACAGCAACTTCATTGCTTTTTCATTTTTTTTAATTCTCCCGATTATGCATCTTTTAAAAATCTCTGAATGAGCCTAAAACACATGGATATTAAAAAGTCCTCCTTTCATATCTTTCTCAGTCCATAACAATTTCAAGTGAAGATGTTTATATCTTGATGGAGGGATTACTGCCTCAGATACAAGAATGGGCTTTTGTCTGTGGTCACCCTTGGAGATCTTCAAGGTGAATGAACCATGTTAGGACTCATGCAAACCCATGAGCGTTTGCAACTGTGAGCAATACAATGATACTGTAGGAAAGGAAGGAGAAGGAAATATCATTTCAAAACATATAACTTCAGCAACAATAATTCATCACTCCCTTTTACATGAAGGGATAATCCAATGGCTTTCATTAGAAATTTCTGGATTGCTTTAACTTCTGGACTCCTAATGTTGAAACATTCTGGAACTATTAGATAAAAGAAAAAAAAAATACACACCAGATTTAGCAGTTTTGAAGTAACTGAATTTTGCCAACAAGTACAGAAATGAGGAGAAATGATAGCAATTGATTCTCTTTTATTTTGGTGAAGAGGGGAAGGGATGAGGTACTGAGTATTGGCTTTCAAATGAGCATTAATTGGCTGACAATTCTCTGTATTCAGTTATTGGCCCGAAAAAGCAACTGCTAATTGATAGTTGTCCATGAGCAATATAGAGTCATAAACACATAAACATGTCCATGTTGTGCTGAGGTGGGAATGCACTAAAAGGAATCAGAGCAGTCGAAGATATTTTTTAACTGGGAGATAAAAATTAGAAAGGCCAGTCACCTTGAAGTACACTGAGATTCCCAGCAAGCCTCTTTCTCTTATCTTCTACTCTTTGATAAAAGCTCCAGGATTATTTTGTAAAAACAATTATCTTGATTTTCAACTATTTAGCTCCATTGCTTGTTTTGAAATGAGGATTGTTTAAAATTGAGTAGCTGCTCTGAGCAGTATAAAAAGGTAAAAGTTCCCCTCGCGCATATGTGCTAGTCGTTCCCAACTCTAGGGGGCGGTGCTCATCTCCATTTCAAAACCAAAGAGCCAGTGCTGTCTGAAGACGTCTCCGTGGTCATGTGGCTGGCATGACTAAATGCCAAAGGCACACGGAACACTGTTACCTTCCCACCAAATGTGGTCCCTATTTTTCTACTTGCATTTTTTTACGTGCTTTTCAAACTGCTAGGTTGGCAGAAGCTGGGATAAGTAATGGGAGCTCACCCCGTTACGCGGCACTAGGGATTTGAACCACTGAACTGCTGACCTGTTTTATCAACAAGCTCAGCATCTTAGCCACTGAGCCACCGCATCCCTGCTGAGCAGTATAGAAGGACCGAAATATCAAAACATCAGTCTGAACTCCCATAAAAAATGGACTGCAAATGCTTTCTGCGAGCTTCTCTCAAAAGTGCTTTTTTAGTAAATAAATTTAAAGCTGGTAGTGGGGAGAAAAAGGAAATTTCTGTTCTTAGCAGTTCACCATTTATTGTTGCAAAACATCTTGGTTAAGGAAGATGCTTTTTCCATTCCCAGTGTGATCTGGCTTCAATTGGTTTCCAAAATATGAGTAATAACCAGCAGGTAAAAGTACTGCCTGGGACTGCAGAACAAGAGAGATTTTGAAGTGATGTATTTTGGTGGGCTACATGTGCCTCCAGCCATTCTACCCTGTATGTTGTATCTATGTTTCTTCCATAAAGCAGAAATAAGTTACGATATATCAGACATCTTGACATTTTAGTGGATATGTTACCTAAGTAGTCTATTTCTATCTAGTTCAGGATATTAGCAGAGGTCTGATAACATAACCGTTTCTTGTATTAAAGTACAATATAAAGTATTTCACCACATGACAATGCATTTAGGACCAATTACAAATTCTGAAATACCCTGCTCTTCTTAAACCTTAAACCAAGGGCTACAGAGACTGGCAGTAGGTTAATGGAGTTTAACCTTATGCTCTCCTTTGTGGTTCATATCCAGAATGGACTCTCTCGCTTGCAATTTATATTTCAAAGAGGTCTGGAAAATCATGCAGAGGATGGCTTCTGGTATTCTTTCCCACTGCTTAAATATAGTTCTGTTGTAGGTAACATGCCTTTTTTTTTTTTACCAACAATATGCTTTGTTTTATATTGGTTGTAAAATGTACATTTTAAAAAAAAAAAATAATAAACCCTAGTAAGGTGGATGAATCTACATGCAGACTGTAGCTCCATTTTTGCAATCTTGAAGTTAAACCTAGAATGTGATGCAGAGAAAGTTTTTGACAATTTAAACTGAGTCTTTTTGTTTAAAGTTTTGAAAGATATGGACTTTGGGGGAGAAATTTATTCAAGGGATTAAATCAATCTATAGATCTCAGCAAGCTCATGTTATTATTAATGGGGATTTGATTAAGCCATGTGAGATTCAGATGGATACAAGACAAGGATGTCCAACATCTCCTTTACATTAAAAAAAAAAAAAAGTTCTGGAGGTTTTGACTAGAGACATCAGACAGGAAAAAAAATATTGATCTAAAAAGAAATGTATAAACCGAGAGCTTTTGCTGATGATTTAGTTTTGATTCCCTGGTAGCACTGTTGTTAGAATGCAGTATTGCAGCTAACTCTGCAAACAGGCCAGCCCCAGAGTTCGATCCTGACGGGGCTCAAAGTTGACGCAGCCTTCCACCCTTCCGAGGTTGGTAAAATGAGGAAACAGATTGCTGGGGACAATATGCTGATTCTGTAAGAGAGTTCTGTAAAGCAGAATTATTTTACAAGATCATAATCATAAGTTTATTTGTCAAGCATATATAAGATAACAGGTAAAGTATAAACATACTTTGAATACATGAAAAGAGTAAGTAAAAAGAAATATTAGGACAGGGACGGTAGGCACGCTGATGCACTTATGCCCGCCCCTTACAGACCTCTTAGGAATGGGATGAGGTCAACAGTAGACAGTTTAAGGTTAAAATTTTGGAGGTTTGGGGAAGAAACCACAGAGTCAGGTAGTGCATTCTAGGCATTGACCACTCTGTTACTGAAGTCATATTTTCCAATATGATCCCCCCAAAAATAGAATGGAATTTTTAATTAAGAACCTGAATAACTTTTTTTGCTTTAGCTGGCTTTAAGATACACAAATGAAAGTGACTCTAAAATGTGTTGAAATGTAATTAAAAGATCATCTGATTTGGCTGGCCTTATACTTCCAGCTATTTGGCTAGTCCCTGACTGCACCAAAATTTTCACCCTTCTTCAAGTGACATTCCCTTATCACCAGGCTTCTACCAACATGTTCCAAAAGAACAGCTAAATATCTCTATCACCTAGGGCAGTGTTTCTCAACCTTGGCAACTTTGAAGATGTGTGGACTTCAACTCCCAGAATTCCCCAGCCAGCAGTTGCTAGGGTGATAATGAGCTGAAGAGTGTTTTCCTTTATTTACAAGTAGGAAAGGCCACCAGTTCACATGCTGCAATCACCAGCATCATCAAAGCCAAGGAGAAAAATGCTTGATCTAGACTATCCAAACTAGCGTTGGCAGGCAAATCTCCAAAGGATGATGCTTTGATTAATGTGCCTCTTCAAAGGAAAGCCAATAAGCCAAGCAACAAGCTCTTTCTTTTCATCAGAGTGGAAACACAATCCTATTTTGCTCCAATTCACTTTCTGTGAAAACAGGGATGCATTAGCATAAACCATTGTTTGTGCAGCTGGTTGACAGTCCAGTAGACCAGGGGTTAAGGCATCCGCTAGAAACTAGGAGACTGTGAGTTCTAGTTCCATATTAGCTAAGAAAGCTGGCTGGATGACTTCGGGCCGGTCATTCTTTCTCAGCCCAATCTACCTCACAGAGTTGTTGTGGGCAAAATGGGAGAAAGGAATATTATGTTCATTGACTCATTGACATTGAGTTATTTATAAAAATAATAAAGGTGAGATTTAAAAAAAGTGCATTGTTTCCAAGTCATTTCTTCACCAAGAGTGAACTTGATTTAATTCTTTTCAACAGACAACATGCCCCCAGGATGTAAAGCAGACAATCCACAATTCTTATTCAAGTCTTGCATGAAATTCTTTGAATCCTACCAACTAAAAGAGTACAATATGATGTTAGGTCTGCACTCTGAAAATGGTTCAAGCCAATGGTTAATGCAAAAGTAACATTTCCCCACTATTAATTAATATAGCCTGTCTTGTTCAAGGCTTCACGTGAGTCTAGAACAAAGAAATCTTGCCATGTAGGAAATCCAGTCAACATCATTCTTAAAGCAGCAGAACTTTTGTTTCACATTCACCTAGCCCACGGGTGTCAAACTCGCCGCGTCACATTGCCATCACATGACATTACATGACATTTTTCCGATTCACGGAGCTGGGGTGGGTATGGCCTGTGCGTGGCACATCTGCCCCACAGGCTGCCAGTTTGATACCCCTGACCTATCCTTAATACATATGTCCTCTACATATTTGAAATCTATTCAATGCCAAGGGGGGACAGGATAATGGCTCCTTTTCCCTTTTAGTTCTGTGGAGAAAAAATATCCATCAACAACCAACAACACGCCTATGCATTCAGAGTGACAGGATATGGAAACAAACATTTCTACTTTCTTAACCAGTTGTTTGAAGATTCTGATCTTTCTGGAAATGCTGAATACATGATAAAAAATTGGTTTCTTTCCTAAACAGTCAAAAAAATGGCAAAGAAACATCTCCAGTTCCACTGTTCAAGATCCTATTTCCCTCCAAACTCTCATCTCTAAGCCATTCTGGCTGGCAGTTATAAATGAAAATAGATTTTACATTTAAAATGTTCCATTAAGTGCTTCAGAGAAGCTATATTTCTGATTAATTTTAGTTTTCTCTGGTATTGGGATGGATATTATATATCAGACATGAAAAGTACACTGGAACTTTCAAAAATACATTTGACATTGATTTTTATGCATATTGTATTTGTATAATTTTCTGGAAGGAAGATCTTCCTCTTAGTTTTGACTTGCCGTAATTTCTGCTTTCTATTCGGTATCAATCACCCCTGAGTGGAAAACTGGCTCAGCCCAAATACTCATTTATTCTTACCAAAAGAATCCATTTCCAGCTTTTTTCATTTTATGGAGGAATAAAATATGAATAAAGATAGGTGCAGTTAATTGCTGTCTAGATACGTTTTATAGTGATGTATGATCACAATAAATCTGCTTTGCCCATTTTTTCAATTTTAGCTCTCTCCCAAGTCATTTTTTAAAGCTCAGCCTCAACCTC